AAAAAAAAAAAAAAAAAAAAAAATACAAAAATACAAAAATACAAAAATATATAGCTTTAAGAGGGTTAGGCCTACCCTAAAATTAAGGAACGCTCGACCTCGACACGTGATATCGAAATGGGCGAAATCGCCTCTTGATATCACTAACTCTCCTGACTCCTGACTCCTCCTGAAAAGCTCACCTAGATAGAGTAAAGCGAGGTAAAATGAGAGGAAATTCTTCAATCGACTTCCCGTCACACTTTCCTGCTTAAATGGGCGAGTATTGCTTCCGCGTATTGTTTGATAGCAGCAGGGAAAGCAAGAGAACTTTAGTGACGCATTAGAGCACCACTACTCCGACACCCTTTGGCTGTTATTGTAAGACCGAGTTCCAATATTAAAATATTTGAACTCGGTCTTATTTTACCTCGCCATACCCCACTCTTCGTAACAAGCTCCTGCCAGGGATTGGGAATGAGCGACAGGAGCAGACAGGCATTTTCATCCTGCATCATCACGATGCACCCCTCTTCTAGCTCCCCTTAAACATAAGTTCTTGGAAGGCACGGAACTGTTGTCGCATGCCCCTCACTTCCTAAGACCAGGACTGCCCAACCCTTTTGCCCACCTGGGCCGCATTGCCACGAAGGGAACTCCCGCATGACCTTTTTTTTTTAAATATTAGTAATGCTGCTATGGATCCCTCCAGTGATGATTCTTTTACCGGAAAGTTTTTTTTTTAATTTCGGGAAGCGTTGCGGACCGTAGATTGGGCATCCCTGCCCTAGACCAAGCACTCGGGGACTTCTGCTCGTTCCCAAGGATCAAGGATCGGCTTCGAGGCACAAAATATTCAAGTCGTTCGACATTAGGATCAGCTGTTAACTTGTGGTTTGAACACAACCCCGAAGAGTTCTCTGCTGGAGCCTTTCGAGACAGACTGAAACGGTGCGAACAGTTTGTTACGAAAGAAGGATATCATTTGAGAAGTGACGACCACTGCATTGCATGTTTCTTTCATTGAAAACGAATAAATGAGTTTTGTTGAGTATTTTTAGTCTGTTCGTCGTATTACGCATACGTACCTCGTGTCAAATCGATACCCAGAAAAGGAACGTGACTAAAATCGTTGAAAAGAACAAAAGACCGGAACCACGGCTGCACTTGACCACCGTATCAATTTATTGGTGAGATTGGGGCAATAAACGGCGCAGAGTTTCGTGATCTGAACAACAACATGTTTGTAACCTAAACAGTGTAGTAGGAGTACTTAGAGCCTTAACGGAAGCTTGGCCATCTTGACGAAGTTTTTTTTTCGCGGTTTCTTAGGAGGGTAGATATATCTTTGAGTAAATGTTCGTTGACCTGGATTTGGATAAAAATGCTGTGAGAAATGTCTCTTTGCATCGATTGAACCTTGCAGTGAGGTCCCAATCGGAATCGCTTCTCAGAGAGGGCAAGGCACATGTGCTCATGCTTTTCGCTTTTACCGTCTCTGGAGAGTTCCTATTTTGCCTTTCAACTACTTGGGCATTGGATGGTTGTAAACTTTGGCGGATATGCGAGGGGTAATTGGAAGCTTATTCCTCTATTATCTCTTGGAACTGACGCCATTTTATTGTGTAGATGGTTTGCTGTGACTGTGGGAATGATTTGTGCAAATTTTTGGATGCGTATCTCATTACTTGTAATTATCACGTCTTTTGTGTCATTCTAGGTTTCTTTAGCACATTGATGGGAAACTCAAAATTTTTTGGCAAGCATGGTTGGTAGGCGTAAAATAAAGTCAAAATAGGTCATGTGAAGGAAGTTTTGCATGCAGCACAGTGTTTAAATAGGCAAGTCATTTTTGGATGTCCAGCGGTCTTCTTTTGAAGACCGCCAACTTGGGAGACGCTCAACAACTTCCTTATCTCAAATTTCCCAATCGGTCATCGTCATCTTCCATGATCGTTTCTTAGCCCTGCAAATTGTAAGATGCGATTGAATTGCTCGGTTGAGGTACTGGCAAATTCTAATATCCCTGTGTCAATCAACGATCTTTCAACATTAGATCGACTGTCAAAAACTGCTGAAAGGCAATAATTATTTCCCATAAACAACTTTTTGCTTTTCAAAATTTTAGGTCTTTCCGCCGTTTCTCACCAGACTCTAATAATTAATGGGCATTTCTCTGACTCGAATCTTACGTCAGTGCAAAAGTGACCTTGAATTTAAGAAAGGCATGAAAGTTACGTATAATGGGATATGCTCACAAAAACTTGCGCAAATTATCTCCAGAGCCACAATAGGCCATCTCAACCGGAAAATCAGATCAAATCCAAGAGGCACTAATGATGGAGGAACTTTTCAGATAACTTTTCAATTGCTCCTCGTATATGGAATGTAAAACATTGACATTGGAAGTGCAACCGAATAGATATTGAGAAAGAGGTATGAATGGATTCGTGAAGAGGCGGATAGTAAAAACCTCATGGGGCATCATGTAGTGAAACAAAAAGACCAAAACCCTTCGTAGCAAAAAGAGGGTAAGACCTTTGGGATTCGCTTCCCTAAAAGGAAGGAAAGAAGACTTCGGAATGCAATATGGCCGGCATTTTGGGTGGTATAACGTGAGTAAGCCTGTCATTTCTCGGGAGCAAATCTCGTGACCACCTCGCGTTTTCTTTCAAGTGACAATGAAGGAATGCATTTGAATGATTGCAGGTCGTAAATTCATGGCTTATTGAGTCAGGGGGGGTTGGGGGGGGGAAGGAATCTAGGTATTATCCTCTTCCCTCGTGGTTTTCGATGTCTCTGCCCTCAGGATATGGGAAATGACAAGACCGGGGCTTATGGCTTCTTTTAGGAGTCGGGAAAAAATACTGGAGTAACGGGGATTTTTCCAAGTTTCAGCAATCCAATTCCTATAACGATCGCACTCGAGTGCTTGGGTGATCGAGAACATCCGATTCAGAAATAAAATACCCTAGGGAAGAGCGAAACGATTCGTTGCCACCGGTGGTTTAGAGAGGCTCCAAAGAGATCCCATGGCACGTGATGCATTTCAATGCGGCGATTCTAACACACTCAATGTGTTCTTTCCTGGTATTTTGAGGCACCATCCCTCACGATTCCTACCGGTTTCGTACCCAAGGGAGTCTAATGCTGTTGAAATTCGTTATTGGGAGAGCTCTGCAAAGTGGAAACGATATCACCCCAACTAGCGCGCGGAACGAGAAATTGGATGAGAAAAAGTGGAAGACAGTCAAGTTACGAGGACTGACTCGGCAGACAGGCGAACGGTATTTACGAAAAGGATCAGATCCGCCTCGATTGATTCCCCTACGGAACTTTTGATGCACTGGAACCGGGGAAGATTCAAATCGATCGAAGGGAATCCCAAGGGAGCCGTGATACCCCAGATGCGAGGGAGAAGAAAAAAAAAATCAGTTTTCTCTCCTGGCATATCTTCATTGATTCCCGCGCTCCTACGATGAGCTCCAGTGAGCTGCTTCCTGTCCCACAAGAATCCTCTCAGAGCCTAGCCGTCGTTTTCAGATGGCTCCGTCTCGGATAGATGTACCTCGTCTCCGCAACCGTGAGCATGCATCGAGACGATGTAGACGATCCAAAGGGCCACGGAAGCCTCGAAGACTCGAGGGATTTTGGGACTGGCTGTATATTGATCAAAATTAATCCCGAATGCGGCACCCAGCTTACCTCGATGCGTTCTTCTGCACTTCGCAGGGCAAATTTCAGAAATATATCTTAAGAAAAAAGATAGAAACTTGCGCGATTGTTAGGAAACGGTGGGAGGAATCAGAGTGCCCGATTCGACCCGAGAGCACCTGTCCTGCAGATTGACCCCAACTTTTCTCTCCTCCTATCTGCCTCAGCTACATTGTCCCGAGTTGCGCAGCCGTAGGCAGAGATAACCTCCATGCGCGACATTAGATGTCTAGGAATAAACGAAAGGTTATATAAAGGAATAAACGAAATAAAAAAAGGACGAGGGAGCAATATATGTAGAAACGAGATCGACGATACTTCCTCCTCTGTCGATCGCGACCCAACTGCGATGTTCCTCTTCGACGGGAGACCGACTGGAATCGTGAAGCGGTCGAATTTCCGTTTCGGCGATGTTCCTCTTCGAGTTTGCAAAAATTGAAGGCTCGGAAGAGGGCGAGAGCGGGAAGGGCTGGGAAAGCATTCTGCCTGTCGTCTGTCGCTAGCGGCATCGATCCGTGATCTCATTCTCTTCCCGATGAAAAGGCCCCGTCTCTCAGGTGTCATCATCCTCATCACGAGAGCGTGGATTAAATCTCGTTGGAGAAACCGTCTCTTCGTACATGCACTCCCCCTTTTTCTCCATCGCGATCGATCCGAACGTCGTGACTCGTCGAAGCCCGGAGTTGATCCTGCGAGGAGCTCATAAGTCATTTTCGCACCGCGTCGGAAGGGGGGGGAGGGAAAGAAGTCTTTTTTCTCCGGGTCCAATATCTCCACGGTGAGGGGAGATAAGGTCGTGAAGGATTCATGATTTCTCACTATGGCGATGGATCTCTTTCATGCAGCTCGATATCTTGGCTTCTCCCTCGATACCGTTCTGAAGACAAACACTCAATTTTTCAAGTGCAGGGAGCTCGGTAAAATGGTTTTTGCAATGCCACTTTCGTTCCATTTCGCTGCGTTCCTCGATGCTTTCGCTTCTCGATTTATGCGCTCATTAATAGATAAGTTGCTTCATTTTTTTAATTCATTCTATCGATCGTTCACGGTTCTTATTTCGCTTGGGATTCCTCGCTGTCTTGACTCGTGTGAATTTTTCATTTCATCTACCTCGTCAGAGATGCTTTTCTCGAGAGATCTCTTAATAAAAATTTCCCGTCCCAGGGATCGAATTTGGGTTCAATTTGGAAGGAAACGAAATTGGATGATCTCGGCAAAGATCCAAGACATAAAAAGGGGGCGTTGCCTTGCGGATGATATGCAGAGAAGGGCGACTGATCGATGATGCCGAGATGAAACGAGGGGAAAAACTAGAAGGGAAGGTTTTCCACCTTCTCCGGGGTTTCATCCCTCATTTCATTTTTTATTGCAGGTTTACGTGGAGGGAGGCCGAGGTTCCCAGTGCCAGATGTGGGAATGGGTGGAATGAGGCATCCAGGTCCTCCGGTCCCAGGTTCCATGGGTGGACCGAGGGGAATTCGAGGACCCAGGGGACCCATTGGACCGATGGGACCCATGGGACCGATGGGACCCATGGGACCCCCGGCACCCATCGGACCCATGGGCCACCTTCCACCTGTGATGCAGAGACCCTTCCGCCCTCCTCATTCCATGGGTAAGCAATCTTTTCCCGCTTCTTGCTTCCGGTCTTAAAATTCTCGACCGAGGCAACTTCAAGCGGTGTTTAATGTTCAACTCGGCCAGCAATTAGGCAGACAATATTCTTCGTGTTATTGCAAATGACAAGGGATTCCTCCATATCTTCTCCCTGAACGCAATCCACTGTCCTTTTCTACGAATTTAAAGGAAACGAGTCCCTTTGCGAACTCCAACGGCGGCTCTTTATCCGTGAAATTCGGTCGCAGAGCGTACGAACGATCGATATCATTTGTCATCTCCTCGACTCAAGGGCCGAGAGGAGGAGTCGGGCCCCGAGGACCGGGACCTGGAATGATTCCGGGACCGGGGCCGGCGCTGACGGAGGGGGGAGGGAGCAGGGCTGGAGCCCCCGTCCCGGACGTCGACCTGAGTCATCTGACGGAGGAGGAACGAGCCGTGATCCAGAACGTGATGGCCAAGGCCCAGGAAGTCGACACCACCGCTCCCAAACGGTAACGTGCGATGTCCGAGTCATCGTTGGAAGTCGTGCCGCGAAACGATGGAACTTCCACGGCCGATGCCTCTCCCTCTTGAGTAATTCATACCTTCGGGGATCCACGGATCTCATGATGTTTTCATGGTAGACGCCATTACCGAATGATCCCCTAGTCGTGCCGAGAGATCCGCTCCTACGATCAACTCTTCTCCCGAGAAAGGGGTGGCTGTAAGGAACGACCAGAGACGTGGGGCTAAATAAGAACCCGGCTCTGTCCCCCCCCCCCCCCATCCTTTCCTTTTAAATAAGAATCGAGTCTTGGCACCCCAACCGANCCCCCCCCCCCCCCCCCCCCCCCCCCTTCCTTTTTTTTTTTTCTTGATGCTCATTTACTTTCGAGACGTGGTCCTTGGGGCCTCTAAATGACGATGGGTGAGCCGTCGTTACATTCTTTCGTGACGATGGTCTGGTTTTTCTTCGGAACCCAGTAAAGCATGATGATCTCGTCTGGATGAATCGTGAAAGGTTTAGGGGGGAAATGGACGAATTTGCATCAGCTTAAGGTCTTCGAAAGTGTCAACAACGACCGGTCGTCGGGTTCACCGTGCGAAGGGATTTCAATTCGGAGAAGGAACGACGATCGGTGGGGCACGAGTCGTGACGAAGCCTTGCCGGAGACCGAAGAATCCCAACGAATTTAAGCATCTGGATTTCCGACTCGCATTGTGCTCGATCGACGGGACCGCGGACGAAAATTGCGGCTCGCTCGGTTGGGGTGCCAAGACTCGATTCTTATTTAAAAGGAAAGGGGTCGTGATATTCACTCCCGCCGTGGAATAAAAAGAGGGAGTCTGCGAGATTCCGGTCACGTCTGGTGACATTCCCGTTTACGATTCCGGACAGCTCGGGCCCCTCCTCTCCTCCTAAAAGACCTCTTTCTTTCCTCTGGTAATATTACACATATAACCCTCCCGTGCCCTTCTTTCCTTTATTTCCGGCCCGCTCGTCTTCATCGTTGTCATGTTTGAAACCCGAGAGAGGAAAACCCTACCGGTTTTTTTCCACGTTCGAGTCCATCGACCGGACGGACCGATGGAGTGCAGAAGACCCGTTCCGTCCCGTAATTGATGACGACTTTTGTTCTTTCGGACCCGGAACGGTCCACCGCGGCAATCATCTTAATGCAAAATCCATACGGGTTCGGATGCGATGTCACCCCGGCCGCTCTCGTGCGGGTCGAAGGGGATGGAAACGAAAATAGCGCATGGAATTCGAGCAGAGAGGAGAAACTCGCGACGGAAATCGGACCGTAAATGTTACGGGTTTAATGAGTATAAATTCGTAAGGAGGACGGAGTAAATCCCAAAGATGAAATAATAAAAGACGCAAAGACTCGGTGCTTTCTCTCGTCGTCGACGGGATGGGATCCGTATGCACTTAATTCGCATTTACGCGGAGATGAGAAATGGCAAAAGCAAAGGCATGCAAGCGAGAGAAAAAGGAGAGAGAGAAAGAGAGAGAGAGACAGAGAGAGAGAGAGAGAGCGCGCGCTCGGCCTTAGTCATTTCCCACGAGAGCATGATCGATCTGGGTTGATGAAAGCGGACCTCTACAATCTTCCCCATTGCGATCCTGCGCATTCTTCCCTGCATCCTCTATTTTTTTTGGGGGGGGTCTCTAATCTGGCCTAAACTCACACGACGAGGCATACGTGAGAGGCCGAAAGGGAGGGGAAACGGTAACGGTCTGGGGTCCGCGTTAGTGTCCCCTCCTTCGATTTCGTCTCGTCTGCCTACGCTTACTATCGGGCCACGATGCATTCCCGGGAATCGGATCAGGCGATATCCTCTTTCCCCCTTCCGCGACTCCCTCTGGGCGCCGGGGGGTGCCAGAGGCCGATGGGTCCGAACCCGACGCTCGCTTCCGTTTATTCCGATTCCGCTCGCTCCGGTCGGGTGTCGAAACCGATCGGGTGCGGTCGCGATGGGGAGTCGGTGATGCTCGGGGACCGCATTCGTCAAAAGTTTTTCGGAAGGCACGAGTTCTCGAGAACGAGTCCGGAAGAAAGCCGATTTATCAACATCGGTTCCAGGAACTTTTTCTGCTCGAAACCTGATATCTACCCGAGATGAGAGTAAGGGAGATTCATCGGCGGTAACTTACTTGCATCAAAACTTCTAACGGTAACAAAACTTACGAAACGTAAAGGTTGCTTCTCGTGTTTAACGCGTCGATGGAATATTTTCTGGTATTCTTTTCTCTTTCCCGATCGTCACTCATTTGTCACCGATGTGTTAAAGCATCTCCATGACAATTGCTGTTTTGAGGGAAAAGGTTGTACATTTTTAAACACGATGTCTTCGCTTCCTTTGCCAGCCGAACGAAACCGCGTACCATCTTCGTTTAACATGGGCCAATTCGACTGGATGACAAGGGAGATCCATTACAATAATAATAAAAAATGAAGCCAATGTAGCGGGCGCCTGGAGTTTTCCAGCAAATTCCCGGAAGGGGTCGAGGAGTGATGAATCATATTGTTTTGTCTGTCACCGTGGTGAATGATGACAAATGGCAGTGAGGGAATTCTATCGACTCGCGGCCGCCTTTCTTCCCTGCTTCCTATATACTGGGTGGCGCAAAAAAAATGCGTCAATTTTTTTCAGGCTTTATTAAAACCAGCGTAGGAATGCTTCATTTGTATTTTCTTTGCATTCCATCGACAACACTCATTGCGTTGACAATTTTGTTTCGGTTAAGTTATACTGTAGTCTCCAGGTTGTCTGGGTAAAACCCGTTGAAACTTCGAGAAGAAAATTACGCTTTACCTCGTTTCCGGAGGCAGAAGTTTCAGCAGTACTATATACCGCGTTAAAGGGGTGCCTTTAAAAGTTGGACTGGAGAAAGACGAGACTCCAAGAAATTGAGTCCACGATTTCATAGAAAACCCTCACCGTTCTCTTCCCTTTCCGCTCCTCGTCTTCTGAACACGCCATGAAATTCGGGCCTCACCAACTCACCCGAGATCAAAAGACGCTACACAATCCAGAATACAATGACGAGAACACAACATAAAAAACCGCCTTTGTATGGCATCAGAGCCTTTATAATGCGTGACAAAATTTACATTTTATGACTGCACTTTCATTCAGCCGACATAGACAGTTGAAACTTTCAGGGAACAAATTTTGTCGCAATACAAGAAATTTACGAACCCAGAATTTCCACAACCGGTTTCATTATGCATTAAACAGCACGCAATTTTTGCGCCACCGGATATTTATCCGTGGACTCTGCGGTTTGCGGTCGCATTCCAAAGGATATTTACCCTTTTTTATGATGCCTCGGTGAGAACACGGCACTTCTCGTTTCGGAACTTGCTGTTTCCCCCGGGTGACGCCATACGATGGGGACTATACAGGTTTCAAATGAGTCCCATTTCATTTTGTTGTCATTTTAGGAGAATGATATGAACTCATGGAACGCGGTTCTTCACCTTTGCTATTTTTACATCCGGATGCCTATCTTCGCGATCCTCGTAAAGATGGCCCCATTTCAACCGGGGCGAGGGAAACGTTGCTGCCATTAAGGCCACGATCGCGGAGGACGCTCTTCTGACCTTTGCCATTATCGAGGAGACTCTAGGGATCGGATCGTTTACGGTTTCGACGTTCATGCGCAACGATTAGCTTATCAGGAGAATCTGTGACCGCACGTACCGCTGCTCCGAGTCGGGACCTAATGGAGGCCGGTCTCAATATCTCCCGGAAAAGTTGGGGAAAATGCGACGGAGCTAGCTCAAAATCAATTCGCATTGAAATGTTGACCCACAAAAGAAAGATCCACACGTTCCGTGTGGATCTTTCCTTTCGAACGATCGACCACAAAGATCGGCGTTTAGTCGAGGCATCGTAACGATACAGACCCGCCTCATTTACCAGTGATCGAGGTAGATTCATCACATTTTCAAAATATTTAGGCCGAAGTCCGGGTCGAGATCGTAATTGCGAATTTCAATTCCGATTCTCGAAGGAAGTACGATCGTGGCAGTCTCGGAACGTCAGCAGCAGTCTCACTTTCCACTCTGAATACCTTGCACGAGATGAGCTCATCCCATCCGTAGGATTGGGTTTAATTAGAAGGACCGTCTCGAAAGACGAAGGAAATTTGCATTCCTCATCGAACGAATCTCTGTCTCCCTCTCGTGATTTATTCATCGATTCTCCTTCGACGAAGGCACGAACCCATTTCGTCGGCAACGACGTGGCGATCGTCTGTGTTTGTGTATGCAGGCCGGGGAATGCGGGACAGTTGCAGCAGGCTCCCGTTCGACAGTTTTTCGAGCCTTCTTCAGCTCTGTGCGGCATCTGCCGGGCTGCAGACGTGAGTCCACGCGCCGGTCCCTTCGCGGCTCCTTGCACGGTCGCCCGAGGGGTGGTACGATTCTCATCTTTGCTTCGTGTGTGCAGGTGAGCGGTCGAGACGGTCAGGTGGGGAGGTGTTGCACCGGATGCCAGCTCCTCGTCTGTTATTCCTGTTCCACCGAGTTCCTCAACATGGATGGCAGTGTAAGGCTCCTTTCGTTATCACTTCGCTCTCAAAACATCTCTGAAACTGGTTTTAAAAACTGACTTGTTGCAAAAGGCTTTTGATTCTATTCGCTCTCTGGAGAAGGTGTCTCTTCAAAACCTGTGGGAAATTGAAATAACCTCTACTTTTGTGCCGTTTAGGGAGCCACATTTGAGATAGTTGCTCGGATTTCGGTTCCATTGGATTTCTCAAAGATTTTAGCATAAAATTTTTTATTGTTATTCATTTGGTTATTTAATTTTTTTGTTATTTTTTGCTTAACCGACGACCTCACGAATCGCGGAAATATGGTGCACGTAGAGGATTGCAAATTAGCTGCAATAGGTAAAGATGGCACGAGGCGACTTGCAACTTGGATAATATGAGTCGTACAGAGATCAGAATGACTTTCAATTAGATGACAGTGCTGTCACCTTGTGCATAATTGTATCGTCTTGTGTACTTCTTTCACAAGACCTTCTCAAGGCCTCGCATAAATACTATTCAAGAACCTATACGCTTCAAATGACACAATGTCATTGAGACAGGATGAAAAATCGTTGGCGGTGCTATGGTCTGCAATATTCAAAACCTCCTTATCAAAATAAAAATTTCCCATCATTGATATCTACCATGAATTTTGTAGAGACGAGAAATCCTGTGTAAGCAGTGTGCAATCAAGCGTCAGAATGAGCGCCTCCAGCAGCAGCAACAGCAACAACAAAGGGCGTCCATGCAGCAGCAAAATTCGCCATACCAACAATCCCAACCACAGCAGCAACAGTTACAACAACAGCTACAGCCGCAACAACAGCAACAGCCTTCCTATCAGTTTCAACAGCAATCACTGCCATACCAACAACAGCCGCCTTACCAACAACAGCAACAACAACCAACGTCACAACCGCAATCGATGATGTATCAGCCTCAGCAAGAGAGTTTGTCTCAAACAATGGATCAGCAAAATTATCAGCACAAGGACTACCAGCAAGAGGAGAGAAATCACCAGGGCTCCACAACTTGGAGTGATCAGGTATGGCAATCTTGCACTTTTTAAAAGCCAATGTGAAATTCTGAAGATTTTTTGGCATCTTTCCTCACTGTTTCTCTCTCTTTTTATTTTAGGGATATCAGACATCCCATTCTGAACGCTTTGAACAAAGTGGATCGTCGCAGTTTGGCAATGTAAGTAAAAAAAAGCATTTGATGAAAAAAAAAATTCTGGCCTCCGCAAAGCTGGAAAAAGAACTTGTCTCTCTTGTTGCAGCAGGTGGACCGGAAGGAAGCGAGCAGTTTTGATCGATTCGGAAGACCAGAGGATCGGACGACAGGGCCTGAGTCTACGTTATCGTCGATCTGGAATTCCCCAAGTGAGTCGGAAAATGAGAAAGATGCTGAAACGGACGAGGATAAAGAGCAGGATGATGACAAAGAGAAGGAGGAGGAGGAGGAGGAGGAGGTGGAGGAGGTGGAGGAGGAAGAGGAAAAGGATACGGAAGAGGAGGAAGAGGCGATGAGTCCTCCACCTCCTGAAATTAGTCTTGTAGAGATACCGGTAACGAAGGAAGCGACGAGGGTCGTTGAGCATGATGTCGATCCAGAGCATGCAGTGGATGAGAAATTGAGTAGTCCGCTGATAGAGGAACCCGAGGAGGAAGTGGAATGTTCGTCAGACGAAGGTAGTGATGGGCAGGAAACTCCGTCCCCGAGCACCATCCCTCCGATGGACGTATATACGATCCCGGAAGACGAGGATGAACCTGCGAGCCCGACTGCACCGGATGGGGTGACCAGCCTCCGCAGGAAAGGTCAGTCCTACCCGTATGTCCCTAGGTTCTTTCCCGCCCCTCCAGCCGTCGATGATCCTCAATCTCGAAAACAAAGATCGTAGCGTCAGAGTTGCGTGTGTCTGTGCGTGTCGGTGCTTGTCCTGGGTTTTCTCCCCTGCTAGTAGAAGCTAATTGCTCATTCCCGGCACGGGACCATGTTTTCCGGGAACCAGATTCTCCCGCTGTGAACCGAATATCACGCCACGAAGTGGTAATGACGTCGTAAGGTCAACCCATTGAGTTCCAATGGGGAAAGAAGCGAACCTCATGGGCTGGAGAACGTGACAGTCGTGTCCACTACATAGCACCCTAAACCTGGATGTAGTTGCGGACAGAAGCGTTTTCGGTTGGTATGCTATATTTCAAGGGTCCCCATGAATAGGTGATGCCCTGTCTCTGTCAGTGGTTGTATGAAATCCGTGTAGTGATCCTGTTTTCTGTTCCTTCTACTCCCTCCATCACTGCTGCTGCTGCTCTGCTTCCGAGATCCTTTCCTCCACACCCTGAGTATCATTAATGTAAGGAACCCCTCGTTGTCGTAACGTCCATCACCAATTCACAGTAGATGTTCTCCACTCGGTCCAAATACACGTTTTTGTGCTTCAAACTTCAAACCCAAAAATGTGAGTCCCATCCTATTCCAAATTCAACAGGAGGTTCAGAACTTCTCGTGATTTTTGAGGTGAGACGAATTCTTCTATCCGTACACAAATGGAGGTTCACGAGTTCTGCTTCACTAGACACCGGCATCGAAATCATTATTTTTTGCATGCTTCGTTTTTGGCACTTTCTCTGTTTGCATGACGTTGTCTATAGTGGCTTTTGTAGGCTCGGTCGGCTGCCGCTCGAATGTCTCACCCTATCCATGGAGGCCCTTGACTAACCCTGATATCAGTCTGTACTTTTGAAGTTTGCACAGTGTGCAGTTTGTAACGTTCTCGAGCAGAATCCCATACTTTTCGAGCGGATGCCAGACACAGGATTCCAACTCTTCCAGTTCATTAGCCAAGAATTCTTTAAAGGCACTTTGACACCCAACGGCACATTCTTTTACTTTTATTTGATAGATCTGAGGCAGCAGTCTGCGACTCAGATGCCATTCGAACAACCCTCAGCCCAACAACAGAGCCTTCTGCAGTTGGCCGATCAGTCTTTCCAGTTGAAGCAAAGTCTTCAGCACCGGCTGGCAGACTTTCAACAACAACCTAACATCGAGCAGTCCAGCTATCAGCAGGGAGAGAAACGTGTACAGCAAAACGGTGCCATAACGATGCCTGGTTCGGTTCAACACCAAGTTCAGCAGTCCGTTACGTCAGGAACGCAGCAGAATCCTCAGGCCAACGGCCAGATGTCTCAAACAAGTCAAGATTGGCCGCTGAGACTGGATGCTGCCAGAGTAGATCAGCACAGACAAACGAGCACGAATTTATCAAACGCTTCTGGTGAGGGGAAGGTTTTTCCCGTTCCGGTAGCGAGAGCACATCTCTCACTACCGGCTACTCTGAATGCTGTAAACTATCACTGTTGGATGTCGCCAGAGCAATGCAGTCTGAAGTGGATATGTAATGTGATTTGTGCGAAGGTGCGACGGGTATTGCAGAATCCAGTGCTGCCTTCACGGGGATGTCTCCCCCATCCAGACCGCTCAGTCGAGAAGAGCTCTACGGCGTTCAGGGTCCTCAACAACCCGTCGGTCAACCCAGGTGAGAAACGTCTCGGAACGATCCTCGATGCATGTCGACTCTCGTCGGAGGATCTTCAGGTGATTCTTGGGGTTTCGTTTCTGAAGGCCTCGACCGTTCTCCCCGGACGAGATGGGACGGCACGAAATCTTCACCACCTCAGGGACTCACAAGCCTCTCCAGATGCCTTCCACCAGGCCTTACGAGGTACGATCCCCCACACATTTCACAGGGCTCTCCGTTGAATGAAGACAGAGCTTCTCACGACTGCTTTCCTATGGACAGGGATCGGGGATGATGGAGGATGCAAGTCAGCTTCCCACTCCTGGGATGTCGCAGGGACCTGGATTCGTACAAAGGCAGCAGCAACAGCAGCAACAACAGCAGCAGCAACAGCAGCAACAGCAGCAGCAGCAGCAACAACAGCAGCAGCAACAGCAGCTACAGCAGCAGCAACTACAGCAGCAGCAGCTACAGCAGCAGCAGTTACAGCAGCAGCAGCTACAGCAGCAGCAGCTACAGCAGCAGCAGCTACAGCAGCAGCAGCTACAGCAGCAGCAGCTACAGCAGCAGCAGCTACAGCAGCAGCAGCTGCAACAGCAACAAGCCAAAAACACGCTCTCTCTGCAACCCGTATGACACACTTTTTAAAACAGACCTATTGTGGTGACTTCGTTGGATCTTTGACGCCTCTGATCTTCTTTGACAAGGCTCAGGTTAGGAAAGGGCCAATGAAAGGGAAACCAGAAACGGGGGAATGGTCACCTCTCATGGATTTGTCCCCCATCATGGACGTGTCTCCGTCGCTGGAAGCGGCCGAGCAAGAAATCATGCAGCATTTCAGGGTAAATCTTCTCGACTTCATAAACCAGACACGGGGAGGAAGGAATGTTCATGGTGGAGTTTTCCGTGTTGCAGGCCGAGGGAGGTCAGGGGAGAGGGATGACATGGAAAGGGTTCCCTGCGACATCTCGATCGGGCACGTCGACGACGACTACCGTACCTGTCACGACGTCTGCAACCGGTGGAACGAGCAGCACCATATCAGGAATGTTGACCGATTTCTCCAGAGCCCTAAGTGAGCACTGACATCTCGTGTCGATCGCCTTTGGTAAACGAGTAGATACAAAATGACCGCGGTTTCTTTTGTCCTTAAACTTTAGGATTGGGAGGTTCGAAGCAGGACGAAGGGAAGCAGCAACAACAGCAATCGATACCGAAGCAAGGCCTTCCATGGACCCAAGCGGGACTAGCATCTCAGCCATATCAGCAGCCTTCCACTGTATCAAGCACATATCCCATGAATCAACCGAACGTGCCGAATCGAATGCCTCAGACTAACCACAACAGCCAACCAGGAAAGATGATGCAGCCCTTCCAAGGACAATATGCCCAACCGGGATCTTTCTCTTCGGTCGTTCCTCAACAACGGTTTACCTCGTCACAGCAGGCACAACAGATGCAACCACAACAGATGCAACAGCAACAGATGCAACCACAGCAAATGCAATTGCAACAGATGCAACCCCAACAAATGCAGTCACAACAGATGCAACCTCCTTACGATCGGCAACAAGTGCAGCCCTCTATGGGGTACTCTCAGCAAGGAACACAGATGATGAAGCAACCGCAACAGACACAGCAGATGACCGGTGCTCCTCAATACGTTCAAGCTGGTCAAGAACAGCGTTCCCCGGGAGTGCAGTCAGTCATACCGATGCAACAACAGCAGTATGTGTCACAGCAACAGCCACCTCCTCCGTACAGTCAGCAGCAACAACAGTACTCCACAAATCCCCAAAGTTACCCTCAGACTTCAACCTACGGTCAAGCTCAGCAATATCCACAATCCACAATGAATCAGATGCAGCAACCCTCGCAAACTCAATACAACCAAGTGCAACAGCCTCACCCCTACAATCAAGTGCAACCTCCATACGGCACGTCGCAGGAATCGTACGCCACTCTGCAGCAGCAGCAGCAACAACCGCCTTACGCCTCGATGCAGCAGGTTCGATATCCGCAGCAGCAACAACAACAAAATCAACAATTGCCCTCGAGTCAAGTACAGCAACAGTATGCACAAGTTCGACCGACGGCTTACGGTCTGCAACAGCAATTGCAACCGGAACTTCAACGAAGCCAAGTACCTCCACTGCAGGCACAACCGGCTCTATCTCAGGCTCAAATCTTTCCTCAGCAACAGCAGCAACAGAAGGGATTCCCAGCCCCTCTTCAGCAACCTCCTCTGTGCCAACAACCGTACCAGCAACTCCAATCACAGCTATTCCAACAACCTTCTGCCCTTCAATCGCAGCAAAGAACACCTCTTCCGGGAGTATTCCAGATGGATCCAAATGTGTTATCAGGCCAGCTACCAGGGAGGCGATCGCAACTACAATGGCTTCCTGGTTCCCAATCCAAAAGAGAGCTTCCGTTCCAACCTGAAGGGGCAGCATCATCCAGTAGGTTTTTTGTTATTATTATCTGTTGAATGACTTTCAGTAATTTTGCTTAAATGAATGTTGACTTCTCGTCACAGTTCCCTTGACGATACTGAGACCTCCGAGTTCGTCGACGCGATCCACCTCTCCGATCCCAGCTGCAGCAACCATACAACAGGCACAACTGGCTTCGTCACAGATCAAGTTCGTGTAAACGTACCTCAAACTATTGGGTCATTCCACGATAAAAGATGGGACATCCAAGAGCACAATTGGATAAGAAAATTTTCTGAGTTTATGTTATGCAATAGGATGCATTCATATTATGTTCAAGTGAAGACAGATGGAGTGGCATTATCAACACATTGTATCACGCTCTTCCATTGGCAGCATTGACTGACATTTCTTCGATTCATAGTTACAGATGCGATGGAAAAGGGACCAAAAAGAGCCAAATTCGTTCCTTGATTTCTGTGAAAGTTTCCCTCGTGAATTTTTGCCTTAACAATGTTTCATGCTGAATGTCATGCAAACTAAAATGTACGCTTTGATTCCCCTTTGCAATTAATTCAAATTCAGGTTTTTAGGAGGATTCACTTTTAGGAGTAACGAACGAGACAGAAAGTAACAGATGGGATTTGTAGATTTGTCGATAATTCAACTGCATCTCTGGGGGAAATGTACCTTACTGCATGCAGAATGTGCTACATGATGTTAAGCGAGAGAGAGAGAGAGAGAGAGGGACTGGTTCGCTCTTTTGGACTGACCAGCGTTGCGCACGTGCGGCACCTATTCTCTTTCGTTTTGCTCCTCGTCAGGTTGTGGATAAAATCGCTGAAATATTACCCAGTAATGAACATTTTCACCAGAATTTTGAGCTATTCGATTCCTATGCTCAGCAAAATGCCTTATTCCAGTGCCTTCAAAGGAATCTCAACTAATACCTATATTCCGCAGTTCTGATGCTTGCGAATGACATTTGCTTTGTTGATTTTCTTGCATATTTACATTTTTACTAAGGGTTGAAACGGAATGACCCTGTTTCTAATTGGTTTCATCTTGTCTTTTAATTGCCGAATGCGTGAATTTGCACACAGGTCGGGGACGATCCCAGTGTCGGTGGTTGCTGCCGATTCCATCGACCCCGTTCAAGCCTTCAATCAACTGTCCCTACTGACCGGTCTGTTATCGCCGAGTGATGACTCGAATCGGCGAATGAATAATGAGAGGTGAAAAAAGCGTTTGGAATGACTGCAGGTACTCCAGGCACACCGGGGAGCCTGCCAGGTGATTCCTCGGACACCCTCAGCGAAACGGACTCCCAGAAGAGCCTGCGTTCCCGGAGACGACTTCCCAACATTCCTCCGGACCAAGAGGCCATTCCCCTTCCGACTTCACGCAAGAAGGAGCGGATCAACGATCGCCTCTTAAGGTGAGAGAGCTGTTGCCAGTTCAAGTGCTCCGTTCAGACGGAGCAGGTGCCCCCTTCCTCAGGATTCATTAAAACCGCGTCGCCGTTTCAGATCGAGAGGCGCGCGCGTCGGCATCCTCACGAGAAACACGTCGAGCGAAACCAACATCCATCGAATGGTGCAGTCGAGGTACGACACCCCCCTATCAAGGCCTGGATCTGCCCTGGCCATGCTGCAAGGCGAGCATATTTTCTTTTCCCTTCGATACCTTTGAAAAGCAACGAGACGAGATGTTACGAAACGAGTACGTGCATGACAGGTGCTACGGTGGCGAGCAGCAGCGGACTGAAAGGAGACGCTCTGTCGTCCAGGATCCTGGACGATCCGTTCCGACGCTCCCTCGCCGCGTGTCTTCCCCCCGACCTCCACCATCTCCTGGACCCTTCCCCTAACAAATCCTCGGTGAGTGGATGCCGCCGTCGAAGACGCTCGCAATGGGACCTCGGTTTTTGAGGTGATGCCACGGTTCTCATTCCAGCTGTCTGCCTCCCTACAGAACATCAAGGCCCAAATGAGAGACGAATTGAGGACGACACCCGGTGACCGCTGGAAGAGTCTCGATAGCCTCGAACAGATCAAACAAGAAAGGTAAGAGCCTACCGAGAATCGTCATCGTGCTGCATGCATTTTGGAATCTCATTGGAGAATCCTCATTAGGTTGGACGTTTCGAGACGTCTCGGAGGTTTACCGGCGTCTCCCCTTGCTAGCAGACGGTTCCGGAGTTACCGCCGCCAGCTTTCGGATCCTCGAATCTACACCGAGGATTTCACGTCGTCCTATGCCAAGGTGAATTACCGTGTTCCACGCGAGTGCACGATCGACCTCGTCCTGCTAGTGCATGATGCTTTCTTCGACTTCCCAGAATCCCGGTGGTTATTTGGCTGGTCGTATGAAGGCTCTCGAATACGAATCCATGGACGAGAGACTGAGAAAGCCCTACGGAGTCAGGTCTCTACATCGACGAAGCCCTGGCTACGGCTTACTGCGAGAAACGAGCATTTCTTCGGCGGCTCCCATCTCGGGGTTCGAATCCGACGACGAATTCTTCTCGCGGAGATATCGCTATCCGGGAACGAGGTCGGTTTCGCGTCCCGACGGTTACGTGTCTTTGGCATGCTCTCTGCGTCCTTCTGTCGTACTGAAAGGTTTTCTGTCCTTATAGACCGACTCTAGTGAGAAGAAACAGCGAAGGAGCGAGAGAGGAAATGTGGGGCTGGATGAGCGAAGGGGAAAGCTCCTCGTTTTCTCCTCGGAGATACCGCCGATCGCGTCAGCCCCGCTCTTGGCATCCCAGTCCATACGGCAGCGACGAGGACGAAGAGGAGGAAGACCTGTTGAGCCGGGAGGAAAAGAAGTCGCGTATTAAAGCGGAGATCGCGCGCAGGCGCAGACAGTTGGCCGACACCCAGCGGCTCCACGCGGAGCTGAGCCGCTTGGAGCGGCTCCGCGGAAGCCGGACCGGTGCCGAGAGCGGATCTTCCTACGGCGGCGGAGGCGTGCTTCGGTCTCTGGATGAAATCCTACGCGAAGGTTCCAGCTTGAGTTATCTTACCGCCGACCCGCCACCGGGTCCGTCTCCGCCGTCTCCTTCCGGCTACCGGTACCCGCAGTACGTGTCCAGCGAAGAGGACCAGAGCATGGAACGGCTAGCATCCACGTTCCGAAGCGAGGATTACACGTCGTCCCTATACCAGAGACTGAGTGACTTTTCGCCGATGAGTGACGGCGGCGGAGAGGCGCCTCCACCCCCGATCTTGGAGAGGAGACAGCCGTTGCAGCACCGTACAGGCAAGTATGAGCCACCCGTCAGCAGACAGCTACGATTCAAGTGATCCTTCGAGGCTCTTGCCCCTTACCCGTGGCTGACGAGTGGAGAATCCATTATAAACCTACCTTCATCGTAGATCCCAGTCGTCTCTCTTTCACTAATATCTGCGTAATGGCATGGAAGACTCTTCGTCTTAACTGGCTGAATCTACTCAAACGTCGAACACGTCAAGATCACCAGATTATAACATACTATAAATGCTCACTCTCGAATTCTTCCATGTGAAATGAATGCCCATCACTTCTCTCAGAAATTGACTCATTGATCATGATTATAACATGATTACATCAGATTACATAAGAAACATTAAATGCTCATTCTGGAATTATTCCTAGCATAAGATATGCCATGCCCACCATTCTCTGGGAAAGCTATGCAAGCATTCAACAAGTCAAGCTTATCCGATTCAAGTATACCATATGCTCACTGGAAACTTCCCATAATAGGACTTTCCCACCTTTTCAGAGAAGTCATCTCCTTGGGTCAGTTTAGATGTAGAACAACATATACCAGGCTTGTTAAACTTGTTTTCATCTGATAACATCATGAGACTCCATGAGAATGAGACCGACTCGATTCCACGCATTTAAGCTTCTCGTGTAATCGTATGAAATTGAAGACGTCTGATGTGTGTCACCCACAATTTTAAAGCTTGACTGCATTGTTGATGTTCTTTGGTGCTCAAACCCATTCAAGAAACCAATTTTCCTCATCTGCTCATGGAGCCACGTTATCGGAAGACAGACGCTGAATGGAGCAATATCGTTCTGTAGCCTGCCAGTAGTGCTTTCCACTTCCTGGTATCGGTCAGAATCCTTGGAAAGGATTATTTTATTGCTTGGATATAACCTCGACACATTGTTTGTTGTTACAGGGACTCTTCCTTTGATGGTTGACTTGCGTTTTCGTACCTGATGTTGGCACAATGCAGAGCTTCTCATTTCCTGTGTGTCTGTGGTAAAGTGTGTTTTTTAAATGCATATTGCCTATCTCTATCTCTGTCTCTTTCATCTCCTCAGTGCCTTATTGTGGGTTCAGTCTCCTCGTCGTGTTCAGTTCCTTGTGCTGAGGATCCTATGTATCTGTACACTTGGCATCATCACCCTTTTGGCCAAATTAATTACTTCCAGGCAAATTTCTAACGTCCGACAATACTTGTTGCTAAAGAAAGCTCAACGGTATGGAGTCGCATACGCATAAGATGAAAATGAGAAATCCATGGATTCAGTCGGTAGATGATGATGCCAAGAACTCACCAGAACATTTGGTGAAATCTTAACCATCATTTTGGTTTCCTTGCCTCTGTCCCCGTTGAAAAGTGTCTGCATGAGCTGCTGCTTCACAGATTCTATTAAAGACTGCATTTCCTCTTCCTGCTTGAGTGTTTCATTGTGTGTGAGTGTGGATAAGGAAAACCACATCCAAGCACGGCTGTGGTGGTGGTCAAATGGTAATTCCTACCTCTTTCCTGCTTCCTTTCCTCCTCTCACTTTCTGCACGCTTTAGATGCAATGTTTTCCTATCCTTGCTCATTTGCCGTACAAGCAGCTACGATGAACTATAGGACCCCCCGTGTCCATCTGGAATTCTGCACTTAGACCGCATGGAGTCCCTTGTTCGTACAGATACATAAAGGCATGTTATATTACATGCGTACGTGATACATGCTCACCGAGTGACAACATGATAGAAAAGTACTAATATGTCAAAAAAGCTCCCGAGTGACAGAATATCCATCTCACCCATCGCAAACTGAATTGGCTTCTGCTCCAGAAGACTGTCGAAAAGACGTATGCACTTGCCTGGAATCCCAAAAGGAAAAGGAAATAAAATTCCAGAGTAGTTCAAGAAAAGAAAGTATATGTGAACCCAGTTCGTTCCGACATACTTCAGACATTTTTGTGGCTTTGAAAAATTGTGACGGTCACGACGAATGCTTGCAGTGCCTGGAAGACGAAGGGTGAAACCGCTGATGATTCCTTCGTCCATGTCCTTGCCGACGTCTCAAAAGTACGATGAATTGTACGGGACGCTGTCGGGACGATCGAGGAAACCTTCACCCGGGTCGGAGGGAAACGTGTTGAGCCAAGAACACACCCGGAAAGTCCAAGTAAGAACGTAAGATCCGATCCCTTCCTCTCTCGGCATGCCGTTGTGAAAATGTTTTTGTCCCCCCCCCCCCCCGTTCCCGTTCGCGTTCGTGCGAACACTGAAACTTCGTCGTGTCATGCCCCTTTCCCATTCTGTGAGCCGCCCAAACGAGCTTCACTGTCGAGATGACTTCCTGAACTTTCTGCCTGGTGATCCCATCTTTCGTTCTCTCTTAGGCATCCGATTTACAGTACTCAGAAGATACGTCACAGCTTCCTATAAAGCGAGTTCTCCTCACCAAAGATTCCAGAGATAAACTTTCCGGAGGTAAGCCTCTCGAACTCCGACGAAATCCCTGTCAGTGCGATGCATTGGGGTCGATGATGTCCCGTTGAACGTGATGCAGGTCGGGCGTGGGGGATGCGTATCGAAGGGGGAAAACACATGGGGCACGGATCTTCCTTTACCACTGCTGCCGTGGTCCACAAAATCGATCCTGGCGGTGTCATCGAGACCTTGGGAGAAGTTCACAAGGGTCAGCACCCACGAAAGACCGTCTCTTTTCTTTGCATTTTTGAAAACTCTTGAAGAACGGTGGCTTTCGTGAACTCAGGTGATATCGTGTTGGAGTGGAATGGAGTCTCTCTGGTGGGAAAATCACACGAGGCAGTGACCCAGATCGTGTCTCAGCCGGCCGAAGAGGTGGAGGTTCTCATTCAATGGTCAGTTCATACTTATTTGCCAGACTCAAGTCAGTCGTGTCATTTTTTTTCCTAATCACTGCTGAGGATCTCTGGAATTTCAGGAAGTCTTTCCCTTTTAAGATTCCTATTTTCTTTTGAATGCTCAAGAAGATTTTGACTTTTCTGTGCAATTATACTCAACAGCATAGAATGCATCAGAATTTCAGTTAATTTTTGTGCGTTAGAGCCAGAGATTTAAGTGACACGTGTCCATTGATGACATCACAAACGGACTCTTTAAATGTCGTTGGAAAGAGTAGAATTCATTTCTGCTTGGCCCATCCATCATGAGTGAAAGGCTAAAAGTGTTCTATGGAGCAAATGTGTGCCTGATCCGGTCACTTTGGTAACGGAACAGACTGACCGGACCGGATGAGTATTCTGGTTGCTCAAAAATCGAGGAGGCGTAATCCAGGATCCATGGCTCCATGCACGCGTCACGCATCAGGGAATTCCTCATAATGGCCATTTGCCAAGAAAAAAGCTGGGAATCAGTTCTACGCAGAGCTAGAGAAGCCTCTGTTGGACTGGTTCATTCTGACATCCAAGTCAATTTCCTCATCGATATCTGTTCTCTGAAGTTAAAGTACTTCCAAGAAATAGGTCACAGTTACCCCATTTTATGGGATGCTTTAACTAATTTTTTTTTTATCCGCAGAACTCATAGCCAAAACAATGTAATCCAAGAACATGATTACAAGATCATTCACCGTATCAGGTTTCTAACGAGCTTTCCTTCGATCAGCACACATGGAGATCGGGTGCCACAGGAGAACGGACAAAAATCTGAGGAATACGAGGAAGAACCTGTCCGATCAACTGGTGAGATTTCACATTATGAATTTTGTCATGGAGCAAATAAAAAAAAACTATGTTTGCAGGTCGAAGTGATAAAGGAGGTATTCTGCAACTGTCACCAACAATGGAAGAAGATTGCTCAGCTGATAGTTCAGGTACTATGGTCTCGCCGATGGAGACATCAAAGGTTTGCCTCTGCTGTCATCTATTCCGTTTCCATTAAAAGTTCTCTCTCTGATAAGATTAACATATTCGGTTGTGTTTTTTTGCCGTAGGAACTTCCTTTAGGGAAATTGGAGGTGCAGATTTGCCATGACGTACGGGCATCGATTCTTTACGTAACAATCCTCAGAGGAATAGGTCTCCTGGTGTATCGAAGTGATGGAGACACGAGGCCTGACCCATTTGTCAAATGCCAATTACTTCCTGGTCATGCGTATGTTCTGACTCGTCATTCTTCTGATGCACGGGATACAACGGTTTCACGCACAATTGTTTATTGGAAATGTATTATGACGATAGGGTGGAGAATGAGCGAAGAACGAGGTGCCTCCAGAGAAACAGCACTCCGGTATGGAATCAAACCATGGTATACCCACATATCACCACGGCTGACCTTCGACACTACAAACTGATCATTAGTGCTTGGAGTTTTGAGGTGGGAAGAAGGAAGAAGTTCCTCGGACAGATCCTCATACGACTCAACGGTGAACGACTTTTCCGTAGTTTCGTTTGTCAACCTACTTATAGTAAAGAAATTAAGAAATCGAATGCGATGATGTTGAAGATGGGAGGCTATCAGATGAAGAGCCTCGCTGGTACCAGCTGAGAGACCGAGCAACTGGGATCCAAGAAGGAGCGGAGGCAGCAACAGCAGGAGCAGGAGAAGGAACAAGTGGACAAAATAGGATGCCAGAATCTGGATCTGGATCCGCCCCACAGGGTAGGCGGTCCCGGGCCATGTCACTACGGAAAATTATTTCCCAATACACCAAGACAAACTGAGAGCATGACAGCGCTGTTTTTTTTTAAATTGGGCATGGCTGGTTCTTTGCAGCCAAAAGAGGCAGTGCGAGATTTAGCAATTTAGTTCCCCAAGTGTTGCGTCAAGAACGAGGGCTGCGCCTAACAGGTTCCGAACCACCTTGTGAGTTCACACTACTCAGCTAACAAATTTTTGTTATTTCAGCCTGAAAAAAGTTTTGACTTAGAAGGGTCATCTACTCCCCTTTCCAATGCAATCTTGTTGGGTTTATACGGGTAACTTTTCACCTCATTTTTATTCATCACCTCACTTTCCTGTACCTGGGTCTTTGTCGTGGTGTGTCGTCATGACTGTGGATAGGGCCACACCATGGTAACCGATATAAGTCCCACCGAGCCCCAATCTTCCCTTCGAAACACATCTCGGCCCACCCTCTGTTGCCTGCAGGCTGCAGGGCAAACACCTGCACCCTTTTGTGAAATCGCTTCTGTCTTCGTCATATCTCTCTCTGCTTGTTGGTCATTGTAACTGTTCTTTTGCTATGATTGTTGGAAATAAACAGAGACTTGTTGTTTTGCTACGATTTCTATCGTTGTCCTTCTCCTGCATGTGGGGATCTATCTGTTGTCAACAAAAGACGAAGTGTGTCACATCCTTCTGTCTCTCTGTGGCCTGATTGTCCTGTTTGGTGTGCTTTCATTGTCATTCCCCTCGAGTGAAGAAATGAAAATGATATAGTAATACAGTTTCATTATATTCGTTCCTAGTACACCATGAAGTTGGAAAAATCAAGACAAGATATCTAAAATCAGCTTTAAAGAAAATTTAGTTGAAAGGGAACTAGGATGTATGAATATGTACGGATGAATCAACCACATAAAGACTCCTCCCAGTCCATGACCTGCAAAATCAAAGAAAATCTAATTAAAATCTTGCTTCTGGTGAGGAAGAAGAATAAGTCAATGTATAATTTTAACTTTTTATGTCTAAACAATGTACTGAAATGATAATAAGGAAAAGGAAAAGGAATCTTGATGAACAAACCTTGAGCATGCGTCTGATGACGACGGTTAGGGATCCGACAGCAAAGAAAAGGAGATATCTTCCAACCAGGGAGGTGGGGGTATTTCCTCTTCTTCGTCAGACTTCTCGATCGACGCACTTTCTGCGGCTCGTACGGTGGGTACCTCATGCTAGAATATTAATAATTCCACCAACAGTGTCATCTCCCAAATTGTTTCCCTTTTTTTTTGGTTGGAGGAGAGGGATTGCACCTGCCAAGATCTTCGGCAAGGCGATTATGGTCCCTCTGAAGGATACTCTTCTTGCGTGAAAAGGTCTCAAACGTGGCTCGACCATGATATGCTCCCATCACGCTCGTCCCGACTCCACCAAATTGCAAGGAATCCGTGGCAACACCACATAATCTTCCGTATGACGTGTGGTCAGATACCTGAGTCCAAGAGGTTCTTTGTTATATTATGAGGCAATTGTGGGTTACGTTGCCTTGGTGCATAGTTCTTGTGCATGAGGAGGTAAACTTGAATATTTTTATGTGAATTATTTATGTAGTAAGTTGCACTTACTATATACATTTATCTACTCAGGATAATGGGTTCAAAAATAAAAATGGAAGCAGAACACGATGATTTGGCGTTGTGATTTTTGGCCATAGTTATTGCACAATGAAAAATATTAAAATTTTCATGATGTCATACATTTGTATGAAGCAATGGCAAGAAGAAACTGAAAAAGAAGAAATAAAACTTAAGATCGGGTCTATTATCCTGGATAAAAATTGGGTGGAAATATTGGAAGGATCTGGAATGGAATACCGAGAGCTCTGTGCATGCAAGAAATATGATGATTGGAAGCTTCATGACGACTGTCATCAACCAACAAAGAGACCATCACTATTGGCTAATACAGAGTCCCTTGTTTTTAATTCTCAATCTATCTACTTCTAATGAATTTCATTTTTACCCATAACCGTCAAAACTCTGCAAAGATTGGGATGAATTGTGACGATGTCCATATTTTGTTGCGCTTGGTGTTTAAATCCAATTTTAAACCCTTCTATGTCTAATTCATCTCTCAAAATGGGCAGATATAGACTGAAATTTTCAGGATATATTCACATCTTCGTTGTTCTTAAACTCGAATATTCTGAATGTTTCATGCTCAATCGGGATCGTGAAAAATAATAATGATAAACTTTCCTATATGGATAGATGACTTCCATTTGATTCTTGGGTTCCGTTTATAGTTAGCCAGTTGGGAAATCTTATCTCCATAAGGATGGCTTTATGGCTGATTTTGGTATGATTGCGTTAAAATATATGCTGCTTTTTGTCTGAACAGTAACAGCATTGACGTTGATGGGGGAGAGAATCAAGTCTTTCAAGGACCATCTCAATTTCTTTCACGCCCTGAGACTTGAACGGTGTACTTTCATTCCCAAGGGAGAATGTTCACAATGGTTGAAAGCCAGGGGAATTCAGGATTGGATATGCCCTAGTCTTACCAAGGGTTGTGCGATGTGGGTTTAAAAGGGAATGATATCGCACGAAGCTACAATATCGCCAATCCAATAAGCCAGAATTGGAAAGGCGACAAAAAATGCTTGGAGCCTGAAACTGAGAAAAGGAGTTCACATACGATGAAAGGAACACTGGTGATTTTTGCTCGTGACAAGGTCATGCATGATCTTGGGAATTAGCAGTGGTGATACCTGTCTAATTTCTCCCCGTTTTGTTATAGAAGCCTCATATTGGGAAGTTGGGATAGTGCCACATGGCGATGCATACCACCTCCCACCTGAGCTGCAAAGGCCTAAAGGGTAGGGAGCCAGGAAACCTTCCCCGCTTAGTTTTCCTTTCGTCAAGCTTGTGCCATGTAGGTCTAGTAATTCGAGGAAATGGCTCAAGCTTGAGTGGGACTACCATGTCTAGGTTTCCTTCATCGATCATCCAGCCTTACCATCAGCAATCAGCCATAATCAGTCATGTATGCATACAAGAGTAATGCAGTATAGATTTGGAAAACAATATTGCGATAAATACATATTCCCGACAGAATCGATATCAATAGATACCGCTATATCGCGATAATCGGCACAGTCTTAGTCTTACCTTGTGAAGTGTGCAAGTGCATTGCAGAGTTGAATTTCGTCATCTTCGAGGAGACTCTTGAGCTGCCGCAGCTGCTCCTTTCGGAACTCCACATCTCTCTCTCGTTTATCCGAGCTATATGCTTCTCTCAGCTCCCTTAATGACTATGGGAAAAAATGCACACTAGAAAATGGCTTTCTTTTTTCTTATCTTACAGGCATTTCGAGAAATTTCCTTTGATGGTCTTTCTTGCTTCCGAATTTTTTCTAATCGCTTGTGAAAATAGTTGAATTTTAGAGACATCCCAGGGACAACAAAATATCATAACAATAAGGATATCCTAAACTTGTTTCAACAACCGCTAGAGACATGTATTAATAAAAAGCTAAATGCATGACGTTCAGCGACGTCTCAGGCTAATTTAAATATGTTGGTTTGAGGAAATCCCAAGGGACTTTCAACACTTACAGAACTTCCAAATACAGGCGTATTTATAGGATTGTACAGTACTGAATTTAGCCATGTTTGGAAACAGTTCAGTCCGTATCATGTTTTGGCCATTCTTAATAAATATGGAACTACGTATGGTTCATATTCAGACCCCCATATATGGGGGTCATTTTAGCATTCGTTCGCGCCTTTATGAGCGCCTTCCCTAAGGTCCAGTTGCTCGACATCAAACGAACTCGCTCCGCAGGCTTTGTCCTCAGCCTTGCGAAATCTTCGGACATTGCTCGCGTCGCCAGCAAATGGCCCGAATCGGCGGAGAAGCCTTCCCTGCGCGAGCTAGGATCCCGCTTTGCAAATTCGTCATTAGAGGCGTGGACCTCCAAGAAGACACGAGCGTCATTAGAGACGTTCTCGCCCTTGAATATGGAATTTCGTTCATAGAGAACGGAATCACCAGAATGCGTAAAACCAAAACAGGCGCGCTTCTCTCGCTTCT